GGCAGGTGAGTCAAACTGGAGGCCCTCCAGCTGTTGCGAAACTACAAGTCCCATCATGCCTCTGCCTTTCGGAGTCATGCTTGTAACTGTCAATCTTGCAATGCCTCATGGGACTTGTAGTTTGGCAACAGATGGAGGGCCACCAGTTTGTCACCCGTGCTTTAGGGTAAAGGTCCGCTTTAAGTTAGGAAAGCCAAAACAAAATCTTTTTTATATGGGAAAAAAGGGTATAGCATTTATATACGGCAGCCAGACTCATTCACCTTTCCAACCGCTCCATCTCCGCCACCCCCCTCTGCCAATCCCTCCACTGGCTTCCGATTGCCCAACGGATCAAATTCAAAATCCTAACACTGACGTACAAAGCATCCACCACACTGCCCCGAACTACATCACTGACCTAATATCCAAGTACCACCCAGCACGCACACTCCGCTCCTCACAAGACCTCCTTCTCTCTAGTTCCCTGGTCTCCTCCTCCCATGCCTGCCTCCAGGACTTCTCCACGGTGTCACCCATCCTCTGGAACTCCCTGCCCCAACCAATCAGACTATCACCTACTCTCCTCTCCTTTAGGCGCACCCTGAAAACCCATCTCTTCAGGGAAGCCTACCCCACCCCCTGCTAACTTGCCAACCTCCTCCACTCTTCCTACCACTCCATCCCCCACAGCTATCTCCTCCTGTAACCATCCCCTCCCTCCTAGATTGTAAGCTTGAAAGAGCAGGGCCCTCGATCCCCTCATGTTTTGCATTGTATTGGTATTGTTCTGTCACATGTTCTGTCCCCCTTTGTAATGTACAGCGCTGAGCAAATTATCGGCGCTTTATAAATACTGTATAATAATAATAATAATAATATTGTCAATTTAATAAGCATGCTAAGCTCATTAAATTAATGATTTGTTAAAGAAAAGTACAGTTGTCCTTTAAAACCAAAGTTTATCACAGATTGAAGTATGGTTGTTTACAGCATAATTCTTTGGATCAGAGCTGTAACTAGAGCCTTCAGGGACCCGATGAAAGAAACCATGAAGTGCCCTCCTGACCCACCCCAACCTTACATCATGGTTCACAGTGTTCTCTTTTACATCACAGTCTGCAGCATTCCCCTTTTCATCACGGTCCACAGTGATCTTCTTTACCACATGGTCCACTGTGTTCCCCTCTGCATCATAGTCTGCAATGTTCCTCTTTACATCACAGTCCACAGAGTTCCACTTTACATCAGACTCCAGAGTTCTGTTTTACATCACAATCCACAAAGTTCTCTCTTACATCAATGTTCACAGAGTTCCCCTTTACATCAGAGTCTGCAGGGTTCCCCCTTTACAATGTATGGGAGAACTCTGCAGATCCTGAAGTAAAGGGTAACTCTGATGTAATGGGGAATACTGTGGAGTCTGGTGTAAAGGGGAACTCTGATCACTAGAGCCCTCCCACTAGAGACTAGAGTCTACAGTGTTTCCCTTTACATCAGAGTTCCCCTGTACATCAGGGTTCACAGAGTTCTCCCTTACACTGTAAGGGGGAATCCTACAGACTTTGATGAGCTGAGGGAGAGGTGTCACGCCCAGGTCAGTGTCTGGAGTGTGGCTCCACATTCACCTCAGCAGCTGCTGTGTGCTGACCTACCCTCCTCTTTTCTACAGATGCCATCGTGCCTGCCCAAACACAAGCAACATTTGGCTGTTTTGGGCCCCCCACAGTGGTGGAATGCTGCCCTTGAGACCCTGGTAGTTCCACCACTGCTTTGGATATTGGAAACACTGGTTCACACTGGTCGCGGTTTTGAATTCCAAAACAGACTATTCAGTGCAATTTCATTGCAGCTTTGTGACATCTGTGCAACTTCATTTAACAGATGTCAATGCAAGTTGTAATAAAATCGCACAGAAATAGTGCAGGAACCTTTTCAAAGTCGCTGCAACTGGAGTTGCACCGATTTGAACAGTTACATTGCCGCAAATGGGATGTGACTTGTCATGCGACTTTGAACTGTCAAGTCGCACTGATGTGAATCCAGGCTTACGGGTCAATTTTTAAATGTTTTTACCCAAGTATTCACACATTCACCCAGGATTCACACATTTTCCTATTTCAATTCATTATTAATGTATGGTATTTAAACAGCAAGTAACACGCGCTACTATACCCAAAATAATATACAGTATCACCAAAAATAATAGAAATGCTGCTGCTCAAAGTGATATGCACTAAATGCTAAGAATTAATAAAACACAGCGCAAACCACTTGCCCTCCAGAGAATTTCCCCCCTTCCTGCCCAGGCCATTTATTGCGATAAAGCACTACATTACTTTAACTGACAATTGCACGGTCATGCAACGCTGCACCCAAATCAAATTTACGTACTTTTTTTCCCACAAATTCAGCTTTCTTTTGGTGGTATTTGATCGCCTGTGCATTTTTTATTTTTTGCCCTATAAGCAACATTCTATGCATGAAGGTAAAATACCTTCTGTGTGTATCAGCTCCCCCAACCCCCCCTAATACTCATCTTAGACCCTCTTGATCCAGCGTTGTGCACTGGAGTCTTGGGTGTCCGGGGGACTCTCATTGGCTGAGACAGAAGCATTGACTGCTGTCAATCACAGCCAGTGAGCCTATGAGAAGAGAGAGGGGGCAGGGCAGAGTGTGAATGGACACACGGAGCAGCGCGGGTACCCCTATAGTAAGCTGCTTGCTATGGGGGCACATGACAGGAGGGAGGGGCCAGGAGAGCCAGCAGAGGACCTGAGAAGAGGAGGATCCAGCCTGCTCTGTGCAAAGCCACTACACACAGCAGGTAAGTATAGACATGTTTGTAAACAAAAAACCTTTAGAATCACTTTAAAGCAGAGTGCCACTCACTCTGTAAAAAAATAAAAGTCGGCAGCTACAAAAACTGTAGCTCTTCCTGTAGACCTCCTTCAAAACACAGAGTGTAAGTGCGCCAAAGCTGAATAAAACACTAGGGGGGGGGAGGGGTGCTCCAATATGAGTGTAACTGCACCAAAGCTGAAAAGAACATTGGGAAGGGGGGGGGGGGGAATTGCTCCAATATAATTGTAAGTGCACCAAAGCTGAATACACAGTGAAGGAAATAAGTATTTGATCCCCTGCTGATGTTGAATGTTTGCCCACTCACAAAGAAATGATCAGTCTAAAAATCAAATGGTAGGTGTATTGTAACGCTGAGAGGCAGGATAACAACAACAAATTCGAAAGATATGCATTTCTAACAAATGATGACTGATTTGTATGTTCATGAGGGAAATAAGTATTTTCTTTTTTTGTTTATAGCGCAAAAAAATAAAAAAAACGCACAGGTGACCAAAGAGTTCAATTTTGGTCTCATTTGACCACAACACTTTCAACCAGTCCTCCTCTGCATCATTCAGATGTTCAGTGGCAAACTTCAGACGGGCCTGGACATGTGCTATCTTGAGCAGAGGGACCTTGCGGACTGCAGGATTTCAGTCCTTGTCGATGTAGTGTGTTACCAATTGTTTTCTTGGTGACTGTGGTCCCAGCTGCCTGGAGATCATTGACAAGATCCTCACGTGTAGTTCTGGGATGATTCCTCACTGTTCTCATGATCATTGACACTCCACGAGGTGAGATCTTGCATGGTGCACCAGACCTAGGGAGACTGACAGTTGTTTTGTGTTTCTTCCATTTGCAAATGATTGCACCAACTGTTGTCACCTTCTCACCAAGCTGCTTGGCGATAGTTTAGTAGCCCAGTCCAGCCTTGTGTAGGTCTACAATCTTGTCCCGGACATCCTTGGACAGCTCTTTGGTCTTTGCCATGGTGGAGAGTTTTGAATCTGATTGTTTGATTGCTCCTGTGGACAGGTGTCTTTTATACGGGTAACAAAATGAGATTAGCAGCACTCCCTTTAAGAGACTGTTTCTAATCTCAGCATGTTACCTGTATGAAAGACACCTGGTAGCCAGAAATCCTGCTGAATGATAGGGGATCAAATACTTATTTCCCTCATGAACATGCAAATCAGTGCATCATTTCTTAGACATGCATTTCTTTTGAATTTGTTGTTGTTATTCTGTCTCTCAGTGTTACAATACACCTACCATTCAATTTTTAGACTGATCATTTCTTTGTGAGGGGCGAACATTCAAAAGCAGCAGGGGGTCAAATACTTATTTCCTTCACTGTAACACTGGGAAGGGGGGGGGGGGTGCTCCAATATGAGTGTAAGTGCACCAAAGCTGAATATAACACTGGAAAGGGGGGGGGGGTGCTCCAATATGAGTGTAAGTGCACCAAAGCTGAATATAACACTGGGAAGAGTAAAAAATAAATAATTAATATCAATAAACTGTTTTAAATCGATATAGAAATACACATTTGAAATCAAATCATTATTTTTTGCCAATAACATGGTATGGGTGGATTTCTGCTAATCACTGATGGGGGGCACAGTCTCTGATGGGGGTGCTGCTTCTGATTGAGTACTGCGCTGAACGAGTGCGAAGCAGTTAAATACAGCAGTTTAATTATGCCTTCTCTACTTTCACAGGTAAATGCATCTTTCTCCTACCTCCGCTCTTAACTAGAAAAACGCATTGACTCCTGTTAAATTCAGAACAAATGATGTATTTATATTTGTGTATATGTTGACCAGTCCTCACTAGAGATGAGCGAAGTATTCAAAAATTCGATTCGACTGATTCGGCGAATTCGTGGAAAAATTTCGATTCGAGTCGAATATATTCGCTGCGAATTTAACTTATAAAAGGGTGTTTCTAGGCTTCAGAGAGCCTTTATATTAGTGCAGAACACTGTACCTTTAATTTAAATGCCCTTGGAGTCTGCTGGGGAAATGAAATAATACTGACAGTCAGTATGACATGCAGATGAGTGCCGTCGATCTTAGAATCACTGCACACTTCACTCATTTGGGCAGTCACGGGGCCAAAACCAGAGTGTGGAGCCACAGTGTGGCGGTGGAGGCAGCAGCAATGGGAGGCCATACAGCACCCTATGACAAAAATAGAAACCACCAGCAGTGTGAGGAGACCTGAAAGTGGCACATGGCAGAGTGTGGCGATGGAGACAGCAGCAATGGGAGGCCGTACAGGGACCCATGACACACTCTGGACCTGGCAGCAGCATGAGGAGGCGGTACAGGGGCCCATGACAGATTACGGGCCTGGCAGCAGCATGAGGAGTCGGTACGGGGGCCCATGGCAGATTAGGGGCCTGGCAGCAGCTATGGGGGGCCCGTAATCTGCCAGCACCCTATGACAAAAAATGTAACACACCAGCAGTGTGAGGAGACCTGAAAGTGGCACATGGCAGAGTGTGGCGATGGAGACAGCAGCAATGGGAGGCCGTACAGGGACCCATGAGAGACTCTGGACCTGGCAGCAGCATGAGGAGGCGGTACAGGGGCCCATGGCAGATTACAGGCCTGGCAGCAGAAATGAGAGGCCCGTAATCTGCCAGCACCCTATGACAAAAATGGAACACACCAGCAGTGTGAGGAGACCTGAAAGTGGCACATGGCAGAGTGTGGCGATGGAGACAGCAGCAATGGGAGGCCGTACAGGGACCCATGAGAGACTCTGGACTTGGCAGCAGCATGAGGAGGCGGTATAGGGGCCCATGGCAGATTAGGGGCCTGGCAGCAGCTATGGGAGGCCCGTAATCTGCCAGCACCCTATGTCAAAAAATGGAACACACCAGCAGTGTGAGGAGACCTGAAAGTGGCACATGTTTGGGGCATGATTCATGGCGGATTTAGTCAGTTGTGTCAGGAACTGGTGGTTTGAAATCCAGACTAATCCACGCCTGATTCATTTTCACAAACGTGAGTCTCTCCACACTTTGGGTGGATAGT